GGTCCGGTACGGGGGCGACACTGAGGGTTGCAATCCGTTGCCAGACACGGAAAAAGACAAAAAAAAAAAAAAAAAAAAAGAATGAAATACTACCATTCACAACAACATGGAAGGACTTAGAGAAAATTATATTAAGTGAAACAAGTCAGGCACAGAAAGAGAAATACCACATGTTCTCACTTATCTGTGGGAGCTAAAAATAAATAAATAAATAAACACACGAACAAATAAAGGAGGGGGGAAGAAGACAGAATTTTAAAAAGGGTTTCTAGTGTTACCACTTACTTCATTGGGGTATAGTGCGTGGAGTAGGAGGTATGAGAGGTGATGTGGGCAGGGAACAGATCACACAAAGTTTTATATCCCCAAGTAAATGAAATGAGCAGGAAGACAGGAGCAGTCAGATAAGAGTGTGAATTAGTGAATCCACATTTGAGAAACAATCAGGGACAAGCTAATTGGCTCACCAAATATATTTTATATCCCCAAGTAAATGAAATGAGCAGGAAGATAGGAGCAGTCAGATAAGAGTATGAATTAGTGAATCCACATTTGAGAAACAATCAGGGACAAGCTAATTGGCTCACCAAATATAAACACAGGGGATGGAGTCTAGAAGCTGATCCCATAGGGTCCTTGCTCTGCCTTTGGCTACTTGTAAAAGCCGGAGCAAGTCCCTCCATGTCTCAATGTCCACATGTACAAAATAGGGATAATAATAGTCCCTTCCTCAGGCCTGGGATCATCATTACACGAGACAGAGTGTACAGTAGGTGCTGAGTAAGCACGAGCTGCAACGAATAAGCAAACCTCTTTCTGAGCTCCCTTAACAGACAAGAATGATCCGTAATTAAGAGACAATTGGATAATTTCAAGTGCTAAGTCATTTGCTTAAGGGGAGACAGACAGAACAATCCCCCTGAGGGTGGAATTGATTTATAAGCTCCTTCAAGGTAGAGCACGAGTCCTAGCAAACCAGGACCCCAAATCCCTGGTTCTATGTCTTGTGCCAGTGGGTGGGCAACAGACATTTGCTGAATTCATCAACTATTTCATATCATAGATAAGACAGCTGAAACCTTTGGCTTAGTCCAATTTCACATTATCTCAAATAGTTGGAATCCAGATGGATGCATTTTTGATTCTGGAAAACAGGGTGTCCAGGACAAGGAGCAACTTATTCAAGGTCACGGAACAAAGATTTAAAAGAAAAGCAACCTCCATGACTTCGGGCACCTGTTTTCTGTTAGATGACCTAGGTTTTTCATTGCATGCAGCCACTTTATTAGTCAACAAGAAGCTAAAATTAAAAAAAGAAAAACTACCCAAGGTTCTCAAGAGGCTTAGTGGATCTCTTCCCTCCCCAGCTCTGACTGAGATGGGGGATTCAGTGTCTGCAGAAAAGGTTAGCTGGCAGTTTTGCGCTTTTGAGAAGGAGGGGCTGGGCAATGGAGAGCAAAGGCTGCTTCAGCAAGTCTGAGAAGGGACAGGTGTCAGGCAAAGGGACGCCGGCAAATGCCTCCTTGCCCAGAGCCAGCCCCTCCTCCACCCTTCAATGTGCCATAGAACAGCTCGTTCCTGATGACTGAAAGGGAGATGAGTGGCCAGAGAGGAGAAAAGACATCGTCAGTGACAAGTTGCTCCAAGGAGCAGCTGATGAACCCAAGTGGGCTGCTTGGGAGAGCTGAGTGCTCCTGGCTTCCTGGCATCGAAGAGGACTTAGGACCTGGGAGGTTGCAGATGAGGTTGGAGAGACTTTGGAGGAACCTCCACTCTGGAACTCCCACTCCTACTCCAACGCCCCCAAGAGAGCAGCCAGAGTGGTCTTCTAGAAGGAAGGAAGGAAGAAGAATCAAGTCATCCTCTGCCTAAGCCTTTCGATTGCTTCCCACTGAGTCTTAGAATCTGAATTCCTGCCAGGCCTCCACCCCGCAGCTCTGAGTCTTGCCTTGT